ATGTGTCATTTTGACACACGACATTTTTATTTGAGTTGCTTCTTATATTCAGTACATTTCTCGCCTATTTTAAGACCAACGTGGCAGATCACGTGGGTAGCTTATATATTTAAAAAAAAAAAAAATCTTTAAAATTGCTACAGATTTGAGTGGATAATCGGCCAAATACATTGTCATATATGAAGCCTTGCCATTTGTGGAATTCCAATCTCACATCACATATTACATATACTTGTGAGATTATTAATTTTAATTTGATGTTATTCTAAAATTTGCCAACTCACCAAATTTAGCCCCTTGCCATTAAATGCTGCTATATGATATTATTACTTCACTTGATTATAGTAAAGTTAATAGGTTATTGTATTAATTTTTATTATAGGACCAGAGAAGATGAAGCATCAAAAACAGATACAGGTGTATGTTATAAGGTGGCGTCCATCACAGTGTTCAGTTGATCCAATAGAAGAAATTATACTGGATAATATATACATGTATGATCTTAAGCCCGTTATTGAAAAGGTAATTATAATTTTATCATTGCACTTCATTGGATAGTGCTTGTTCAGAGTTCAAACGAGCAGTTATGATGCTATAAGGTTAAAACTGTATATACTGTGATAAGTAGTACCGTACGCGTCTTAATTTTCAAGTTGTATTAAATTTCTTTATTCTCGTGCTCACCTTAAATCCACAAAATTTAAACCACCTCTAATGCCATTCTATTGTATGTAGACTATGGCCAGAACACGAAAATTAGCTCACACAAATATTAACTTTTGAGCACATTTCATTAAAAACACAAAATCTTAATTTGAATATATACGGTAGTTATTTTTTGCCACATGTCAAGTGGCAGATTTGATAATGGTAAAAACTGCCAATCACTAATACAAGTCTATAGGTTTATATTAACATTAATGTAGAGTAAGACTATGCATAAATAGATATGTATATCATTATCATTATTATTATTGTTTTTTACAGCTATCAGAGTTAAGTGGAGTACCTGCTGAGTATATCTATTGTGCAGAGGTTAATCATTGATACAAAACATAATAAAGATAAAGATGCTCTCTCTCTCTCTCTCTTAGAATGGGCAATTTCCAGTTGAGATGTCATGTCTTGATATTGAGAATAAGTTGAAATGGTGTTCCATCACTTCACACAGATTATGCTCATTAGGAATATATAATGATGGACGTGTCATATATTACAAGTACTAATGAACACATACACACATTATGTATATACACACACACTTACATACACCTCTTACTGTTTATAATTATTTAGAGACAATAGAGAGACAATGAAAGAGTTAACAGATAAAGAGAGATCAGAAATACAAGAGGCAGAGGAAGCAAGGTACTATCAATTAATGATCCAAAATAAATACATCAGTATTATAGAAAATCATTTTTTACATTTTCATAATGACCTTTTAGAAAATTAGTTAAAAATAAGATGGTCTTATTATTATGACACTTCATTTATTACATTACTGTAGGTTAAAGAAAATTAGGGAATACAAATCTCAACACTAGAAATTGATTGGATTAATTTAATTTTAATAATTATTATTTATTTTTAATCTTGATATTTGAAAATTAGTTAATGATACTTTTAAATAAGTTCCCAAGTGCATTTCAATCTTGTGTAGTTTGTTTAATGGCTCCATTTAATTTGTTATTTATTATTATCATTGTTGTTGTTGTTGTTATTAAATAAGAATCTGAGTTTACAAACAATGTCAATGACTATGCAGGTTCCTAAGCAACTTGTGCTTGGACCATAAACTAACTAAACTACGTCATGTACATCTAGTGATTAGTTTTAAATCAAGTTTGTGCAGCAATTGGTATCGGACTGTTGTGTTTTTCTAGTCACAATAAAAGGCCAGGTGTTTAATCTCAAAGCATAAGTTCAACAGAGGCAGACTGAGTTCATAACAGTCAGGAGAGATTCAGAGTGTGAACCATTTTCCTTTGGTGAGAATATTGCCCACTACATGTATGTCTACATTCTCTGTTGATTGATTGACAGTGACTAGAGGGAGGGGCTGGCTACTAGACTAGACTTAACAGGATCCTCACAAGAATCTGATCTGCAGCTGTAAGACCAGTAACACATTTGTCACAAAGCAACTTATTAAATAATAATCATTATCACAATACATTTTGCATTATTATACATGCAAGCAAAATATTTGATCATTTTTTGTGCTTAAGTTAAAAATGAATGGAGTATGATATCTACACATAAACAAAGTTACACTTCTTCCATATCAGTAATATCCTCCTCTTCCCCCTCTCCTTCACTGCTTGATGATGATGAATATTGTAAATCATGACTCAATATGTCCATACCACCACCAGTGACTGGTAACAAACTACTGGCTATCAATCCTTCTCCTTTCCTCCCTTTCTCTATATCCTCTTCATCTGTGCCTTCAACATCTATAGTCCCAATCTATACAGTCATTGGACAATCAACAACTATCATACTGTAAACAGCAGGAAATTTTAAAGGGACTAAATTTTGGCAAATTGCTGAATTTTAATTTGGCAAATTTGTGGTCATATGCCATTGAGCATGCACATAATGACTCAAAATGGCAGATTTTTATATTGGCGAATGACTATGAAAATGGAAAATTTACCAAATGTACCTCCCTTCAAAATTTCCTGCTATATACATTACAACAATCTGTTTGTTTCCATACCTGAATACTGTCTTCACTAGTAATGATGACACTGGATTGTCCAGTAATATTCATGTCATGTTAGTACTAGTATCTTCTTCCTCTGCCTCCTCATCTCCACTCTCTCCTCCTAGTCCTTCTGGTTCATTTAGTGGTGACTTGTCAAAAGGTCCTAACTGGCTTTCATATTGTTCAAAATGTTCTCTTTCCTAAAATAATGGTAATATACATGTACATTTATATAGAATAGTAGTTTTCTCTCTATTGGCACTAGGCTGTAGCTACATGTACATTTATCATTTTCCATAGTAAAATAATAAACTAATATCAATCAAAACTTTTACTCCTTTACCTCTTCAAGATATTGTAGTCCCACTTCCGTCATACTCTGGGCAGTGACAGTAAAGGGACTGGTTGGTCCATTATATGTGATACTGTTATCAACTATTTGATTAAGATCAACAAGAAACTCCTCACGACTTCTGTAACTATCAGCCTCACATTTCTACAAGAGAGCAAGTATGCATTATAGTCCAGTGAAATACATATGATGAATACTTTAAGTATAATTTCAAGAGCAAACCTTTCTCATAGTCTGAAGGTCCATTGGTTTAGTTATGATCATTCTATAATCTGGTAACTTCTTAGAAGATACTGGAAAATGAAATGGCCAAGACTATAAAAAGGCAAGACAGACATAGCATAATAAGTATGAGGTATAATTATACTGTGTACAATAAAAAACCAAGTCTCATATCACTCACATTAGGTACTGCTTTCATTC